TTTAATGAAAAGCGAAACGCAAAGCGACAAACAAATTGCAAAATGAGCGCAGCTTAACAAATGGATGAATGCAGGCCAGTTTGCATTGTGTGTGCGTGTGTGTGTTTCGGTGTGCCACTAAGCTCAAATGTCAAAGGCTTAAAGCCAAGGCATTGTGTACACTTCACAGACACAAACACATAGACAGAACTCGACGGCGTCGCATAAATTTCAATAAGTTGCCCACTTTGCGCCTCGCCGATGAGCAACTTGCACTAAACAAAAGTTTTATGTGGTTGCGTGTGTGTGTGCGCGTATGTGTGAGTGTGTGTGAGTAGGTGTCATCTAAATTCAGGTCACTTTAGTAGTCAGCTGCGAGTCAGCCTTTTGTGCCCGTCTCAAGCTGCTTTCAGCTTCTAAGCAGAAACTGCAGCTGCCACGTCTCTGGCGACATTTTATTGCGTATACGTAATGTTACGTATACGCGATGTTATATGCAACAATTTTTAAAAGCACACACACACGCACACTAATGAGCGTTAAGTGCTCATGTGCATTGAATATGATTTGGCACTTGAAATATAAAAAACCCTAAAAGTCTGCCAGGGCAAAGTTTAAAGCTCAACTTGTTTCAGTATAGTAGCTCCGCCTTGCTGCTCTTCCAGCACTGCCGTGTCCATTGGAGCATGTTTAATAAGCAACGCCATTTTTCATGCGCAGTCAACAGAGCGGCAGCAGGCGCAGCAGCAGCAACAGCAGCAGCAGCAGGCGCACAACAGTGCCTCATAACAGTTGCCACCCACACAGCTGCCAGACGAGATGACGAGCACCACAGCGCACATCAAGAGTTCTTTGCTACACGCCATGCAAAATGTTGGTGCAGGCCATGAATGCGTTTGGTAAAGGGCACGAATAAAGCAGAAGGAAATCCATTTAGTCAATTGACAAGCTAATCTATAGCGGAAGCAACTCAGCGCCAGAAATGATTAAGCACAAAATTGAAAGGCATTGAAAGAGAACTCTGAAAGCATTTGCTTTTTATATAGATAAATAAATAAGTAACTTATTTAACGTTGATATTTTTTTTTGCAAAAAGTTATTTCAGCAAGCAACCAATAAATATGCTATAGAAAATGCAGCAAAATCAAATAGGGGAGAGCAAAATTGTAAGAAATATATTGAAGAAGTATAAGAGAGCAAAGTAGAAGGTAAAAAAAAATAAAATAAAAAAGGAAAGGATTTTCTATAAATAAGTGAGAGAATATGATGCGATATTTAAGAGCTTCAGTAGCTGTTATCAATTAACAAATTATAGACTTTAAACAAAAAAAAAATCCTTACACAACATTAAAACAACTTTCGGCAAAGCTCATAATATTATTGCAATGGAAATATGGGGTAGGAGATGTTTCCTTCTGCCAGTTACATACATTGAGCTTAGGATATAAAAATCATATATTAACCTTCAATAGAAAAAATACATTGATTTTAAGCTTGACCTATTTCCATAAAACTATAAATTAAAAGTATACGCACAGTTCTCTCGCCAGTTAGCTTTAAAAATTATGACTAGCGTTATTCGGGCTCCTTTACTAATTCCCATTAGCTTACAGGACTCGTTGCCAAAAGCATTTATCATTATCCATTTGCTTTGGCTGTATACGTGGCATATGAATTATGATGATACTGCATAAAAGTGACATGCTATTTCATATCATATACGAGTATCTACATATTTTTATGCTGTTCTAGACAATTTTCTTGTTTTTGTTTTTCGCTAGTTTTGGTTTCACTCGTTTTGCCCGAGGGCGTTTCAATGGGTGTGGCTGGTGTGTGTATCGTTGGTGTGCAGGGAGCTCAACAAATTTGTCAACTCAGTGAATCATAAACAAGCGCAGTTATATGGAGCGCGACAGTGTTCCAGACTATGACATAAACAAATAAACAACAACAACATTTACAACAGCAGCTACATCAGAATGAATGTAAAAATTGTGTTTGCATTGGAATTTGCGCGTGTAGATTTTCAATTAAGCGCCGCCAACGCTGCGTATGTGCAATGCCAGCAATTTTCATGCAACGCCGCATTTGGGGGCAACTTTAAGGAGTTTGTGTTCATGGCGAGGGGCCGCCGGATACTGAGCACTGTGAAGTGCACATCATGCCCAACAGTTTAGGGTGACAAATGGCAGCGAAAAACGACACCCCAGCAAAATCGTGCGGCGAGGGGGATACAAGCAGCGACATTTGTTAGCATTAGGCACGTAGCCGGAACTGGGCAGAAGCTGAGCCTGCGACTGAGCCTGAGCCGGAGCCGGAGTCTGAGAGCCGCTGCAGCAGCAGCAGCAGCAGTCAGCAGAAGCAGCAGGACGTGTCGGAAGCCGCACGTAGCGCCAGTGGACATGTTTGAGCAGCAACTGTAGACAGTTTCATGTCTATTTAGGTGTGTCTATGTCTGTGTATGTGTGTGCCGCTGCATGTGTGTGTGTGTGTATAATAAATTTTACCTGCACATAAACAACTAGAACAGCAAAAACAACAACTAGCACTAGACTTATTTAGTGCAGCAGTCAGGAAAAACTTTTTGTTTTTTCTAAATACCCTAAGGGAAGATATTTACTTGAATTTTCAATGAAAGCTGTAACGCCTAAAAGAAGACCAGGCTTGGTAAGAATTTTAATTTGAACTGCATTTTGAACTATTTCGAGAAGCAAAGCATTTTATCGAATCTATAAGCCAAAATTTGGTCAGATATATATTTAAGAAAAAAACTTGATCTCAGTCAGCACAACCAAATCTGACTTATGATTCTTTTACCTAATTTCTTTATAGTATTATATAATTTATTCAGTTCTTCTCAACTTTCATATAATAATGGAGCAAAAAAAGTGTGTTTTATAAATGTCTGCAAGTCACATCATTAGTATTTAAGTATAGAAAGGATAGGTCTAAAGTTGGATCCAAAGAATAATTTATTTATAAAAACTAACTCAAATTCGAAAAAAATGGTTTCTTTTTCACATTTAAAATTATAAAATATATTATATTATATTTTAAATGATATATTATTTGAGGGCATCTCAGCTTCGACTATGCACAGATAAACTATAATATTTATTTCCAGTTGCAGCAACCTTCGCACTTGTTTGTTTTTGGGTTTCTTACGTGTGATTTACGTTTAATTTATTTGTGTTGAGCAAAAAAAAAGCAGAAATTATGCTGTGCATTAGACACATGAAATTAGATTCAAGCAATGCGCATGCTGTAAGGCAAGCTGGGTGTGTCTGCGTGTGTGTGTGCGTGTGTTTGTGTGTGTGAGGCATGTGGCAAGCAGCTCGAAATCATTGCAAGCTTCACTTTTGGCGCTGATTCAATTATTTAAAATGCTGCATGCAATTTTGTGCAGCAAAGTACTTAAGGGAAAGCCCGTAGCCCCTGCCCGTGCCCCTACAACCCAGCAGCCAGAGCCAAAATGTAATTTGTTGATACATGCTGCATATTTGTATAAAGTAAAGTGCAGCAAGGACAGAGAAGGGTACTTGCACAGACACGGAGGGCGGCTGCTGCCAGCAGAAAACATTTTCCTGAAATTACTTTAACCTGATCAGAAGCAGCAGCAGGTTCAGCAGCAGCAGCAACAGCTGCTGCATCCGCATTAACCCATTAATGGAGCTCAACCAAATTTTCATATTTAACAAGTTACATTTTCTATGCAAATTAAAATTGCCAGCAAATTGTGCATATTTTTGGGGGAGGAGAAAGTGAAAGAAGCTGCAGAAAAAATTTGCATTTGTTGTCGCTCTTAAATGCATGACCAATTTTGTGGCTTCTACTTTGCAACTGTCATCAAATTAAAAGTTGATATTAATTTGAAGAAATTTCTTAAATTAATGAATTCATTTGGGAATATTTTTTTTTTTTGGAATATGAAGCTTTACAGAGCAATCATTGTTAAAAATACTGAAAATTTATGCGTTTTAGTACTTGATTTTTTTTAAAGGGAGTAATAAATATTACTTGAAATGCCTTTCCATATTCACAGCTTTTACTTTTTGATATTAGGTAATAAACTATTTAATTGAATACTAGTAGTAGAAAATGAAGTCATCTTTTCGTATTCATTTTTATTGAGAAACTATGAATTATTTAGTAATTTATTGTGGTATTTTCAAATGTATTTTCTTAGTATTTGTGTGCTAATTTCAATTGTATTTTTTTTTCTTTTTGAATATTTTGGAGAGTACGTTCTTGTATCTCAGTGTGGTATTTTCATAGTCTTTTTAGTATTTTTAGAATATTTTGGAAACTACGTTGTATTATCTTCGAAATTCGCTTCTTAAAGATAAGAACTAATAAAAATAAGCTACATATAAAACGAGTCTGAAACAAATACCGAAGATATATAAGAAAATTGTAGAAAATATACATATTTATATATATATATATATATATTTGCTTCCGTTAATGTTTAGTTAGGTTTCGGTATATTTCTTAGTTGAACTACTGATGATTTTTAAAATTTTCTATATACTAACGAACTTTTTTAATAGTATTTTCCTTAATGAAAAAGTTATTAATCAGATCTATATTTGTTAAGCAGGCAAAAGTCGCATATAAACTAAAGTTCAAACATTTAGTTTTGTTTATAAATATCTTTTGGCAAATATTCTATATTTTAGGGTATATTTCGGCTTTGTATGGGTTAAGCAAATAACATGTTGCTTTCGCTTTGAAAAGAATTGCGTTTGCCGTTGCGTCATTTTTCAATTTTCACCTTGTGCACCTGTGCACGCTGGCTACATACTAATAAGAAAGCCAACATATGCAGCTTTATGGGCAAATATATTTTCACCCGCTCAACCCAACTGTGCAGACGTGTTTGTGCGGTAAATAAATAACCTGAGCTTAAAGCAGCTTAAGGGCTTATAAATTCTTCAGCCAAATCAAAAATGTATCCAAGGATCAATAATATTTTGCAGTTTATGGCGGAGAGTAAGGTTTAAGAAGCGCTGGTCACTTACCTCAGTGCAAAACTGGCAGCCGCAATGCAGCAGGGCGGTGGCCTCCGCTGCGTTCTCCACATCGATGAGGCAGAGTTTGCAGGTGAATAGCTGGAAATTGATGGGCGTGGCCGGTGTGCCCGCCGAGGGTGTCACATCCGCGGAGGCGAGCATCTCGCGCCGCTTCAATGTGATGCCGTCGCGCACACAACAGGCCTGGGCCGCCTGATTGGCACTGGCCATGGACAGCAGGGAGCTGACAGTCAACGGATATGCGTGGGTGGTGCCAAAGGCGCCCAGTTCGTTGCCACCCGAGCTGCTTGGCGTGGCCGGTGTGTGTTCCTCAAAGTTGCTGATATTGTTGCCATTGGAGTGCAATGTTGCTGTGGTCACATTGGACGGCGGACTTGGGCTGCTGGCGCTCTGCATGCCAGCGGAACTTTTGCGTGAGCCACAGCCAGCAACAGCAGCAGCAGCAGCAGCAGTTGCTCCAGCTCCAGCTCCAGCGTTATTGCTGCTGCCATTGCTCAGTCGTATCTGCGCATTGACATTGATGTGCGTCGGCTCCGTCGACATTTGGTCCACATCGCCGCCGCCGCCGCCATCCACAAAGCTGACACTGGGCCGTCGGGGATGTGTGCCGAAGGATAGTGCCGATTCTGGACGCGGCACAAAGCCATTGGCCAGCGAATAACGCGAACCGGTTGCAGCCAGCGACAACAAACTGGAGCAGCGGGAACAAGTGCCAACTCCATTGATGCTATTAACGCTGTTGCGCAATCGATTCAGCGGACGTATTTGCTCCACGCCACCGACACTGAAATTGCCACTGCCGCCATGCGTGGCCAGCATCATGGCCGTCTCATCGCCGGGCATCGGATGCAGTGTGTGGCTCTGGCGTGTGAGGGCCAGCACCGTTTCGCATTTGCGCAGGCCCGTATACTGTACAATGGACTGTGATTTCTCCTGGTGCAGGCTGCTGGCGCTGCCCTCGCGACGCATCATATGCCACAGCTTCTGCTGCACCACATTCAGTGAGCTGCTGGAGCCGCTGATGCTCAGCCGGCTGCTGCCATGGCCATTGGCTAGCTGTTGGTGCGGCGAGTGCTGTTGGCGGCCGGCAGGATCCCGGAGCACCACATCCTGTTCCGAGGGTGTGCGCGTAATGCGTATTTCCGGCGAGGCGGGTCGCAAATGCGTTGGCTCCCGTTCCCGTTCCCGATCGCGTTCCTTTTCCTTTTCACTGGCCCGACTGCTGCTGCTGCCCTTAAGGCCAACCAGCGACTTGATAAAGTTCTCAAAGCGTCGACGACGCGGCAGCTGAGCACCCGTGAGTCCCAGTGAGCTCTCCATATCGCTACCCCCAGCACCGGCGCCGGCGCCGCCGCCTGTGCCTGTTCCAGTGGCAGCTGCTGTGGCCCCATTGCCCAGGCTGTTGACCGAGAGCGAGTGATTGTGATTGTGGGAATTGGGCAGTGATAGGGAGATGCGCGTCGGCTGCGCCTTGCGCTCAGCTCCAGCGTCGCTTGCCGAAATGATGTTGATCTTGTTGCGCGTCTGCGTCTCCAGCAGCGCAACTGTCTCGTTTGTGTCCGAGTCGTGCTGCGGCGCGGCATGCGAGGCAGTGGCACTATGCTGGCTGCTGGCGCGTGCCTGATGCTTTGTGTTGGCCAGATTGTGAATTGGCGAGGAATCCTGCAAGGCGGCAATAGTAACTGATTAAGGCAAAATATTTGTATATACACAGATATATATCGATATGTATATAGAACGAGGCACATTCAGTTCGAAGCGGCGCAGACTCACACGATTGACTCAAAACCTGCTCCATCTAATTTTGTATTTACTTGAATTTTGAACATTCTTTAAAAGTAAAAGTTTTTAAAATAACATTAACATTTTTCTATTCACCTGACATTTCTCAACAAAGAAACTGAAAGCTTTTCAATTGTAAGACACGCCAGTGCGTCATTTACTAGCTACTAACATTTTAAATATTTTAATTTAATTGCTCGGTCGATAGTTCAATAATTCGATTTTCCTCAACAAAAAATATCAGACAAAAACCTTATTTTCGACCGATCGTTCCTATGGCAGCTATATGTTCGATGTTGATAATATTTTGCATATGAAACATGCCAAGATATGGGCAACAAATCTTGATAAGAAGTAAACTTTTCTATACTTTTCAACCGATTGTTCCTATGGGAGCTAAATAATATAGTTGTCTCTGTACTGTCTCGTTCTAATTGTTGTCGACAGTTATCGATAGTTATCGTTAGTAACCGATACATTGCACACGCATAAAATCACATTGTAGCTATCTACAACACTTATAAATGAAAGAGAGCCTGAGATCTCTTCTATGCGAAGAACTCTGCAACTAAGTTTTTTCTCTCGTTTTTTTAAGGAACATTTTATGGAAGCTATTAAAAACGAACCCTTTCAGATCTAATAGGTCTAAGTGTAAGCTTTACCTGCTTTCATTCCAAGTATTCCACTTGCCCATCTTTTGCATTAAGACAAACTTACCCTCGAATCCTGTTCCAGCTCCTCCTCGAGCGCACTATAAACTGGCGCGTACCAGGAGTAGGAGAACTGTTTGCGCGCCGATGCAGCAGCCCCGGCGCTGTTGGCCGTTGGCGATGTCAGACCCACGCCGGCGTGACCGTGACCGGGACCGTGACTCTGACCGTGACCCTGACCGTGTCCGTGACTGTGTGTGTGATGCTTGTGCGGCACAAGCTTGCCGCCGCTGGCGGCGTAATTAGGGCCAGCCGTGCCGGCGTTGTTGCATGCAGCGGTGGTCACCAGATTGTTGTTGTAGTTCAGCTGAAGGCTGCGCCGCTGCTGCTGGCCGCGCGTGGACGGCAAATGTTTGGTTTGCTTGTGATGTCGCTCGCCCGCACCGTACAGGCTGTGGTGCTGGCGACGCTGCTGCTGGCTGCTGGGGCCGAGCTCCTTCTTGGTGAAGATGAGCGAGGCGCTGTTCTTGTTGAGGCGTATGGAGCGCTGCTTGTCCACCACGGTGGCCTCGATGTGCGTCAGCAGTGGCACCGTCTCCGACAGCGGCAACAGCTGCAGCGATGATTCGGCCGGAAAGTTAATGATGAAATTCTCGGCAGCGTCATCAAAGATGGAGGCGCGTGCGGCACTCAGGCAGGATGTGCTGCTCTGCGCCTGGGAATGTCTAAGATCCTTGGGCTGTTCTCGTTGTTGTTTGGAATCCTTAAAGTTAGACTGTTGCTGCTGATATGTGGCTGCTGAGCTGTAGCTAAGCTTGTGCTCCACGAGCAGCTCCAGTGGCGGCAGTTTGGATTTGTGCGCTGTCAGCTGCTGCTGCTGCTGATGCTGCTGCGTGTCCAACTCTAGGCTGAGCGGATGCTGTGGGGCCTGTGGCTGTTGTTGTATTGCTGGCGTTGCATGGACGTGTACGTGCGCCTGCTGAAATGCTTCATTCTGCTGCTGCAGCGCAGTCGACTGCATGGCCATGGGCGGCCGCATTTTGGCTAACAAGGGGGCGCAGAGCGGGGCACTGTGTACACAGCTCAGCCGTGGCTGGCAACAACATCTTGAGCATAGACTGTAAAGGAAAAGATTTAATGAGTTGCTAAAGCATTTATTAAAATAAATATATTTATATTATAAAGTCTAATCAGTAATTACTTTAGTTTATTTTAAATGCTGCACAAGTTCTTAATAAACTTTCACTTTAATCAACGAAGTTTTTAGCTTGGCTCAACTTGCCTCCTCTAAAATAAATGACCACATCAAAGAGCAGACGCTGCTCTCTGCTGAGTTTTGGTTTTCAAATTGCATTCCATTCGGAATGGCCCCCTCTCAATCCTTTGGCAAATTCCCGAGCTGCACACTTTTCACAACTGACCCGCTCGACTGGCCAGGCAAAGTCAGCTGCAGTTGCTTAGTTGGCAGCAGTCATAAAGAAAATTCGAGTCATTGAAGCTCGACTGCGAGTTAGCCTATACAAACTCTTTAACTTATATTCTTTGAATTCTTACACAGGGTATTATGTTTTGTCTACGGAGAACTTTTCTGTTAAGATATCGTAGCCGAGCTCCGCATTTAGCTTTACTCAAATCGAACTACCATATTATTTGACTATTATGGCTAGACTAATAAAGCTGTCCTAAGGGTATTTTATCTTCGTTGTGCTGAAAATACTCGCTTTGTATTATTCTATTTCTCTTTGAGAAATTGATTGTTAATTAAAATTCCGATATGGAATTCGCAGAACAATTTAAAAACATGCTTAAATATACGCATACCAAGTCTTGCAACAATATTAGTTTTAGTTCATGCGGAGGTGTTTGCCAAATTTATGATCTCTAGTATAAAACTCTTTTAAGTTCTCAGTTTTTCTAATATTAACAATTAAGCATAGTTATCGTGGGTTGCAAAAGGCACCAGACAATGCATATGTATGATATCATACTGTACACTAGAAGGATCAATATGCGAAATATATGTGCTTTATGTGTTCAAATAAATTTTCTTCAATGCTTTAGACATTTTGTGCCAATTTTAAATGCTTGAATTATATATAATTTATTTAAATGCACTTAAACTGTTTATACCCTTCAGCCTTTTTCAATTTACAGGGTATGCAAAGTACCCCACCTTTACGAGCTGCACTCGATTTTATGTGCGCCCGGCACAGCCGGCTGATTTGCATTTTGCTTTTGTTTGATTTATTGCAATTTCTGCTGTGCCGGAATTTATACAATTTTTGTTGCTTTCGATTGGAAATCGTATTCGGAATTCGGAATATGACCCGTGCATTTGATTAGAGTGGCGAGAGAGAGAAAGAGAGAGAGGAGGGATGGGGGAGGGAGGGGAACAGCTCCCGAAATTGATGGCATCGTCACGTGGCAGTTGGGGAATTCAATTTGGTACAGCTGCCAGAAAATTGCGAATTTTTTTATGAGTTTCAGCTGGTTAAAGTTACGTTACGTGTTATTTTTATCAGCTTTTCTGAGCTGCCAACTCCGAGCAGCCCACAAACAAATGCCAAAGTTAAATGCGTAATTAAGACACGACGAGACAGAGACATAGAAAAGGGTTTGGGCGATTGCGTGCGGAATTATTAGATGAATTCCCACAAGGATGTCTGGCAAAGTTAATTAGCAGCTGTAATTGTGATTGTTACTGCTGTCAATGTATCCATATAATGGAATCCAATGTCAAGGGTATCGTAAATCGAATGCGACATCGTCTGCTCTCTGCTCTCTGCCATGTGCTTTGATCAAACGATGGAGCTGGCACTCTGTAGATTTCAATCATGGGATTTAACGCTACGATTACACCTAAGTGGGATTCAGTGTAGCGCGAGTTCGCATCATAATCAATCATGTTTACCCCACGTTGGGCGCCAACAGTTTGTGGCACGCCAGGCATATGCAAATTTTTGATTTGATTTCATGCACAACGTTGCACAGTTGCACGTAAAAAGAGTTATGGGCTCTAATCAAATTAGTTGGCAACAATGCGAACCCAATTTGAAGGCAATTAATCGAATAATTGTCTAAAATGCAGATCAGAAATTATGCTACACAAATCAGTTTCCACACAAAAGCACGCAAAGCAATGCGTGTGGGTGTGTGTGTGTGTGTGTGTGTGCCTGTAACTGTTAAGTGAAATGAATCGGAAAACATAAATTCAGCAAAGCGCTGGCGTACACCAAGCGTAACACACACACACGCGCGACATGAGGCGTGGCAGTGCCAGCAATAGCTGCATGCCTCCAGGGAGGCAAACGGCGTGGCCTTCGCAATCAGCTGAAGCGCACACTGGAGTCAATTAAGCCATTTGTGCACGACAGTGTGACCACATATTCCCAATGGATTGACAAATGCAAATTAGCTTGAGTAGAAAAATTAAAAAAAACATTGGCTGCCACAATACCAATAAAGGGAATTATAGTGAAGAATAAATATAGAGCTATGTAACATTGTCGAGTTGTTCTCTTTAATGTACTTTGATATACTATATTTGATATACTATAATATTTAAAGTGTTTTTATTACACACCTGAAGATTGAAGATTTTCAAATATTAATTGAATAAAGAAAATGGCATAAAATAAATTAAAACTTTTTTAAATTTTTAACATACTGTGTAAATAATCAATGAATTCTTATAACATTGCAGTATACTTTTCGGGAATCGTACCAATTTAAAGATAATTTAAAAAAATATACAAAAATTATATTAAGAAGGCCTACAATATTATTTTAAAGAATATACATAAAGTATAAAGAGTACGCTTAATAAATACTTTTGGGAAATACCATATTCCCTCTGTCTCTAAACACAATTTAAAAATGTTTTAAAATTAATTCTAAAATTATTCAAAAGTTTAAAAAAATATGTATCCCTATATGTTGTGATACATTTTTATGGATTGCCCACCTAATCAAAATATAACAAAATTGTATAATTATTTTTGGACTGATTTGCAGCTGAGATTTTCATAGGCAATTTAAAGCATTTAAATACTGTTTTTCAATTAAAATACTAACGACCAGCTGGTAACACTAATTTGCAGAAAATATTTTGCTGTTACTCTTCTGCTAGGGAAAAATGCGTTCATTTTGACTTCATTACAAGGGCAGCTGTCGAGAGGATGCGCTAAGCGGTTGCTCCACATGCCACTGAAGGTATGTCAGTATATTAATTTTTGGTATGCGCTGACTATATGTGTGCGTGGGCGCGTTAGTGTACGTGTGCGTGTGTGTGTGCGATGAGGAAAGGCGAGCGCACAAAAGTATGCAACACAAAAATGCGCGACTCGCATAATTTGCGAAGCAAGCAAAGAGGGAAAACAACAGCCAAAGCAGATGGAAGAGTAACTGCTGGCCAGGAGCAAAAACGGAGCAAGAAGCAGAAGAACGAGCACAAGCCGCAACAGGAGCAACAGCAAAATGCCAAAGATAAATTGCTTCTCGCACGCCTTCCAACAGGATGGGCCAGGCAGACAGTCAGGCATACAAGAAGCGACATTTGCTGTCGTTTGGATGTTGCCACGCCCAAAAGGGCCTCCTTTTCAGCCGCCTCATTCTCCTCCTCCTCCCCGGAAGCAAGCAGCTACACATATTCTCAAATTAATCGCTTTTGGCGCACATTGTGAACATTCATTTAACGCCATTTAAGCCGAGCCGAACAAGACCAAGCTACTACAGAAGAAGAAGAGGAAGACAAGCAAATGGCTTGAAAAAAAGCGACAAGGACAACGAAGATTAATGCGGTCTGCTAATACGTCAAGTTTAATAGACAAATGCGCAAACTTGAGCCGCACAATTTCCAAGCAAATCTTTCTACTCACAAATATTTGCAATTGATTTCATCTTTTAATCTATCAAGAGCTTTTAATCTATCTATTACTTATAATTAAACCCTATAAACAAATTTACACAAGCTTAGTTACTGTAGATGTCTGCATAAGCAGAACGATTCATCAATGGGAGGTTAATTTGTATGGGCAGTGCTTGAAATCATGAAAATCGCATAGAAAGGCGACATTTAAAAGAGGGCTATAACAAGTGAGAGACCGCATGAAAGAGAGCGCTAATCAAATAAAGCAAAACACAATGTAGTTGTAACAAATATACAACTCTCGATATGATAAATGAATGAATATCTTACAATAGACCTTGAGTTACTAAAGGTCATGAAAATCGCGAAAGGCGATGTTTTTTTAAAGGGGCAAGGGGAGTCTCAAAGCTATTTGAATTATAAATATCTGATAAGAGTGGAAGAGAACCAGTTCTCTAGTTACCCAACAATGAGTTATTGTGATTTACTCGAATAAATTTACATCATTTGGCAATAACTTAAATCAATGTCATTGGGCTTGTAATGCCGCACATTACCTTAGATTTAGTTGACATTTATTATAATTATTTTTAAATGTTTTATCGCATGTTAAACAAAGTTTCGCTCAAACTATTCTGTTAAGCAATATATTAATTGACTTTCCGAATTCCCCCAATTTCCTATGTTAACTTTACGTGAACCCGTGAACCGGGCCAACTAATTGACACACGTCAATTGGGCAAGAAATTAATTAGCCATATGTCAGCGACACAAGACAGGGGATAAAGGAAACAAAAGCCAGACAGACAGCGTGGACATGCAACACATTTGGGCAATTTATCAGCTCTGCTTTGTTCTTGGCCAGCCCGTTCAACAACTTACCATTATTAAATCTGCATGCAAATGCTGCCGAGTTCCACAAATTGTTGCAACTGCAAAATAAACAAAAAAAAAACTTTTTATTATCAGCTCGTTAATTAATTAGATAGAATATTGCATATAATAAGTTGGAACATATAATTAAATTAACATGTGTCGACAAATCTCTTTTTATATTAGATTTGTGCTTCTATTATCTGTACTCATTAAATTAATTATAATATGTTTTAGAGAACCTTTTCACTCAGTATATAAATTACCTAATATAATTGCAAAATGTATTTTATCTAGATTAAATTCGCATCTATTTATACTCTATTCACAAAGTACACAAGAGCTTTTCCACATTGTCCTCTATGACTATCAGACAGTTGAGAGACTTCGAATTTGGATTTTATATTCGTGGGAGTTCGCCTTTTAGTGCTACAGTAAAGATATTGAACAGATAGATTACTAGAGTCATGATACTCTAAACATCAAGAATCAAATTTAGAATTTTATTTAGAAGACTTTGAACTAATCATTTAAGATTTCGGATATTTTTTTTTAAATTACATATATCTCTTCACATATCTCATTTTAATCTCAGCTTAGGATGATATCTGAAATAACCTCAATATTGAAAAAAAAATGTTTAAATCAAAGTAAATGACTTTCCAAAGCTTTCAATTAGAACTCAATCTATCTTCTTGTATAAAGCAATTGAAGCCTTGGCTTGTTCTTGCGTTACATTAAATCGAACTCATATAATTTTCACTTCCCTTTTAAACAAGTCTGTGAATGAAAATAAAAAATATAAAAATGAGAAAATCTAGAAATATTAAAATAAATAACCAGGGCTTGTTAGGCTTTCAAGTTGCGTAAATAAATTGAAAATGCAAACAGCTGTCCAGTTGCATCATTATAGAGCCAGCCAATTATCGAAGCGGTTCTGCACGCCCTGCTGAAATTCCCAGGACAATGGCAGCAGCTTTTGAATGGGGTAGCCAAATCAATGCAGCTAATAATAGCAGCCCCTGGCCAGCCACGTGCCACATGACGCAAGTGCAAATGCACTGAAGCGCTTACTGTTGCAGTCGGGCAACATAACGAATTGGCTGGAAAAAATGCAAACTGGCAGCTGCTGCTTAAATAGGAGAAAAGAAAACTTAAGCTGGGTAGCTACTGAAAGTAGAGTATCTAGCCAGTCGTATATGCCTGGGAGCTTGTGTGCTTAGCGCCTTTGGGGCATGCGGTTGAGTAGTGGCAAAGGAATTTTAATTGCACGACTGTCAGCCAAAGCCGAATGTCGGCCCCAATTATGAAGCTAATTAGACTTGGCGACACTTAGCCACAGGCACGCCCACACACAAATACACACACGCACACTCGCACACACAACTGGCTGAGGTTAAGCGTGGCCAAGTGCCAGGATACAAGGACTCTTGCGCTGGCATTTAATTTTTGAGCGCCTGCGACCACAAACAGCTGGCACAATTGAAAGCGTAATTGCATTCTGAGGTACACACTTAATTACACACAGCTAATTACAAGGGAATTTATTGAAAATTTATTGATCATTTTCAGTGCAAGCGAACTTAAACGCTTTGCTTAACTGCAAATCTTTACAAACTCGCATTTATCAACTTGGGCACTTGGCTCGATTGCTGCTGCTGCTGCTTATGACACTTAAATTGCATAGCCAACAACAAGAGCAACAACTGCAAACAACTTCAACAACAACAACTACTGAGCACAACAAACAACAACACGCATTTGCCAATCGGCTTTTGACGTCACTCGCCTGCACATTGCCTGCAAATGGCAAATAAACTTTTAACTCAAGTGCACAGCAAGCTAAATCGATGCTATCAATCACGAATTATGGCTAATAATATAACGACAAGCTAGCTAAATATCTTTAAGATACGTTCATGTATACATATATTTAATATGCTCGCCTTAATTACGGCAACAGCAACCATTTAAGCCTTTGTTTTGACCTCTCTAAGCCATGTCCTGCAGCCAAAGACATGTTGTTGTTCGTTTGTTTGTCTAGAAAATCCGATTAAGTCCTAAACCCTGTCACTGCCAGGACAACACATATGCGCAGCCTGATGGAAATTAACATAATCACAACCAGCTGCACGCACAGAGCTGGTAATATGGAAAAACAACAGCAGCAGCTATTGCAATAGCTTCCTGGGTGCATTTACATACAATGCAATCGATTTAATATTATGTATTGCATTTAACTGAAAGTTCGCTTTTGAATAAAAGATTTGACGAATTTTACATTCACCAAAATTGAGTTGCTCAAAATCTAAAAATTGTTTACTTAAGCTGTAAACTATTCATAAATGTTACAATTTGCATTTAGTTTTAGAATTAAAATTTTCTAAAATAAATTTTTTTATTTAATATTAATATAATTAATAATTATTAAAAATGTGTCATCCACGATGTTAGATTGAGGGAATACCACTAGATTATTATCTGGAGATTTTTAAAGATTAAAGATTTTTTTATGCCAAGTTGTGGCATACACACGCGCTGTCACAGTGAGCATTGCAAGTATGCCAACGCACCAGATGTGACAGCTTTGGCACTGTAAAATATATAAAAATAGAATCGATACGAAATCCACAGAGAGGAAGTGCCACAGAGACAGCTGAGAATTACAAAAGTAAAGTGCAAAGTTGAGGCCAGCTGTCATCAGGCTGAACATCATCAGCATCAATAATCAAATGGAATTTCAATCAAATACGTGACGCATTCGCCTTGCAGCTGCGAAAAATTGGGAAAGCTCACCTGGGTGGAATGAAAAAAAACTGCATAAAATGGCTGCAATTGCAGATGAGGGGGCAAGCTAAATGAGATTCTCAATGAGATAAAGATACAAGATACAATGTGTGCGTGTGTGTGTGTGAGGTTATGTGTGTGAATGGTAGCGAGTGTAACACTTGTCTAAAGTCTAGACTAAGTGGCTGCAGAGCGCGCAGCAGCGTTCCTTTATGTCATATGATGAATGAATGCGATATGCAAAAAGGGGGAAAATATAATGAAGAAGTTAACTTTAGGGTGTCGAAAAAGAAATACCCTTGCAGACATACGACAGATGCGAGATAAAAGTGATATCTGAAAAGGAAGAATCTTTGCCAGCTTTATCAGCTCACGTGACTGACAGGCAGACTATGTCTGATATGTGCTGATCGGGAATTTATATATAACAGAGATGTCTCCTTGATGGCTTGACGAACTTTATCACAAAATTAAAAAACCCTCTGCAAGGGCATTAAAGGGGAGAAAACACTCAACAAGCAGCCGCAGCAACAGCAGCATCCCTCGCATTAAGTATACGCCCAGTCGGTTCCCGTTGTTAGCGTGCTTTTTTTTCTCTGCTTTTTTTTTCGTTTTGTGGCCCTTTTGTGGTTCCGTACAACAAAAAGTTGCCTGCTAAACTCTTTCTAATGAACGTCTTTAAGTCATGCCATAACCAAATTGCAGCTATGCAACTCACGCAAAGCTTATTACGCGGGCTACCTCTCTCTCTCTCCCTCTCTCTTTCTCTCTACCTCTCTCTCAGCGTAATCAGCATTTTGTTTGCTTTGTGGCAATTATACATTTAAATTGGCATTGTGGCAGCGCGCGTTGCAACTCATTTGCCTATGCGATAGCCGAAAATCCAAAGCGCCGGAAATACTGTTAGCCGCCTTCTTTCAGTACACGCAAAAGGCAAGTGGCTGGCAGTTGCCAGTTGGCAGTTGGCAGCTGCCGCCATTTTCATGTTGCATGTTGCAACAGACCACAAAGAGATGAAAACAAGCCTGTGGCAAGTGGCATGGCAAGCAAATTGACTTGCGACCAGCTGCTGTCGCCCCAAGGATGACGATACCGTTGTCAAGCTGTTGCCTTTAAAGTGTCGCCAGCCGCACTTTAAACACAGCCATGCAACATAATGTGGCAGCTCTGCAGTTTCTGTTGCACAAAAAGTTAACTGAAAAACATTTAACGTACTTAAAAGGCAGCAAAAGTAAATGTGCAAATTACATTGAAAATGCAAAGCAAAGCAAAACTCACACACAATTTGCACTAAGTACTTTTCGGGCCCTGCAACATTTTGTTGCCACATTCCACTGCACAATCAGAATATGCGCACTGATCAACCATCTTTTTTACTTTGCTTTTTTGCTCTTTGGTAGTCTTAAGTACTTTGCTGCAACTAAAGCAATTAATTAAAGTGTTTCACTGCCATTATAATATTCCATTTACTAACGAGTTTTGGTTTTTTTTTTGGGTTAATAGGATCTAATATTTTACAACATTACCATTAAGTGAATTTTCGAGCTAAATATAATCATTAATAATAATAATAATGAGAATAATATTTATATGAATAAAAATAATAATGAAAGGAATATTAACGAATATTACCACCATAGTAAGAATAATAATAATAATAAATAAAGTAAATTATATATAAAAAAAATACCAAGACTTAAAGTAACAGTATATTATAAATATTACTAATAGTATAAATTATTACAACAATATCGTTAAAATTTACGTTTTTATAAAAAAACGTAAAATTCTATAAATACTAGAAGATATATATCATTTAATATTCTATTAGTTGAGGAAAAGAACTCGAAATTTTACCCACCATATCTTTGACCCTCATTTCCATCAAGGTGGGATGGATTTTCCGAAAAGTGCGAAACACCCCTCAAATGAAATTGAACAGAGATCTTTGGAAATGAATTTGTGGACGATCAGATGGTAAATAAAAAGTTTCTTCTTTTTACCTATACATTGAGCTTCAGTATGAGCCTATCAGTGTTGTATAACAATCAAAACAAGAAAAATAGTTTTCATTACTGTTTTTATAGAAGTATTTCAATCTTAGCTTAAATCACCTACTTAAAAGATCTTCTGTTCAAAAGCTATTGGTAATGAATGAAAGTTAATAAAAATTGTTATCTATCGATAAGTTCGATATGCAATCGCTGGCTTCTCAACACTGGTACTTACACAGTATTAGGGACATTCCCTAAAATAAAACTTAACTAATTTA